AAAATCTTAAGGCCGGTGAAAATGAAGAAAAAATATACATATTGAGTTGTTAGACTTAACCACTTACTTGAGTAGAAATGCAAAAAGTGAAAATAAGAAAAAAAAAAAGGAAGAGTTAAAAGTTAATAGTGATAGTTATATCCACTGTATTTTATAAAATACGTTAACCCATTCACTATCAAAAAACTAAACAGAAAAAAGGAATTACCGGATATATGTGGCTACGAGGACCCTCTCAGTAGGCCTAGCGTGGGAATAAATGCATTATGGAAGCCATTAATAACAACAAGGCTTCCCCCGCAACAACAGCAGTAGCTGAAACAAAAGCGAAGCCTCGGTGAATGCAATCAAGTATGACAAAGAACAACAATATTAACAGTAAACAGATTAGGTTTAAGACTCCAAGTTCTAAACTCCAGATTATCCCAAGCGACTATAGCCAAATAGATTAAGGTGTTATTTTGTGAATGTGTTGATATAATAATTGAGAGTTCAATCCGTGGGACGGCCAATGTAGAAGTGAGACTCAGTGGAAACAGGGAGATCAATAACTGAGCAATGTTAACAAGAAATTATTCCTAGAAATGGAGCTGCTGTTTTATTAAAAAGATGACAAAGTAGAATCCATGAGATTTGTAGACATAGACAATTCACAACTGTAGATGAAATAAAAGAGTTCAGTTTGAAATTCCATAAACATTACTCGGATCAACAATCACTTGAAGACTCAGAAACACAATGGCTGAAACGTGGTATTTTTAAAATATGAGAACAATAGTCCGAATGTAAATAACAATAACTCTTTATTCTAAACATCCGACCCCGAATTAACGCCAGGGCACCGCTGCAGTAAGTACCTGAGTCTTCATGCTATCTTCTAGCTTTATAAGAGCCAGAAATAAAGTACTTCTGTCATATTTGGGCGCAAGTTTTCCAGTCGGGATATAGTTCAAAAGCGTCTCCTTGTGGCTAAAGAATTATTTTCTATCCTCCAAGATCATTCTAGGTTAGGGGAATGTGCTGAGCCCTTCACTGCCCTATCACTACTTCCATATAAAGTGCTCAGATTAACACCATTGCTTAGTTCCACCAGTTTTAACCGTCACAGCAAGGACACGCCATGCCACTTATATTGTAGTAAAATCGCCCATATTCGCTGTATATTCCCTCGGCGAGAATTAAGCTTCATTCGAACAACTTCTTCTCACGAACCACTGCGCTCTGTTAAACTGAATCACAAGTAGATGTTTCTCCGATTACTGCAATCTTATTCCGTTCAAGTTTAGGGTTAACCGTTATCTTCCTCTCCTATCCGTATAAACTCCTCCTTAACGCAGCCCTCTACCAGGAGTGGCTCCAAGGCCTTGTACAGGGTGAACCTTACTGTAGAATCCTGTGCCATTAATAAAGAAAATTTTACTACGGTATTGGCGATAACCCCACATTAAACTTGACCTTATGTCACATTACATTTCGGCGAATATTGACAGCTTTCCGGTCCCGGGTAACAGTTGCTCCCTCATTGCACTAAAGAGGGGGACCGGTAGCAATAACGATGTGGGGGCTGGGAAATTTTTGAGCAACTCCCGGGTACACGCGCTTGGGATCCCCAAGTTACACCGATCTTTTGTCACATCATGTCACTGTGGAGGTGGATTTGGCCTGTTATGATCCTTGTACTGTCGTCAGTTTTACAAGAATTGTCTCGGGTCAGTCTGCCGAGAATATTGTTCAAACGCTGGGAAATCATTCCTACAAGTCCGTATTTCTCCTTCGAGAAGTTCTGGTTTTATTACACAGCGCATAAAACGTTCACAAATAAGGGGAACTGCTGATAAAGACTTTAGAATTTTCCACACTACTGACGATAAACTCACATTAAACTTGACTTTGTCTCCCATTCCGTCGTGGGCGTGCCTTCTAAATACCGAATAGGATAGGCAATTATTATATTCTGACCGGAAGAGGAGTCCTCTTCTAGTATTACAGAGAATAAGACACGCGAATCTCGCGAGTCGGAGATACGAGATTCTGTTTATCGAATCTTGTTTATCTTCTTATTGTTTCTTAGGACAAAGCGCAGCTCAGTTGATTCTCCCTCTTCGGACAGAGCACAACTTAGTTATGTTTCTGTTTTCGGGCAAAGCGCAACCGAAATATTGAGGTGCCCACTCACGAGAAACAACTGCCCGATGCAGTACCTCCATCATTGCACTATCAATACCTACGCCAGAGAAAGCGTATATATCAGTCTGAACAATCTATCTATCTCCCAGTCTGAATATATATCTATCTATCTGAACATATTTATCTATGTCTGTTTATATCTAAGTCTATTCATATTTATCTAAGTCTGTTCTTATCAATCTATCTATTTCAGTTTGAACATATCTATCTATCTATCTGAACATATTTAGCTATCTATTTATCTACGTCTGTTCATGTCTAAGTCTGTTCATATTTATCTAAGTCTTTTCGTATCTATCTCAGTCTTTTCATATCTAAGTTTGTTTATATCTATCTAGCTAGCTAGCTATCTCAGTCTGTTCATATCTATCTCATTCTGTTCATATCTATCTATCTATCTATCTATCTATCTATCTATCTATCTATCTATCTATCTATGTCATTCTTTTCACATCTATCTATCTATCTATCTATCTATCTATCTATCTATCTATCTAAGGCTTTACCTATTTATCAATCTTTCTACTGATGCAAGCATTACGACGGTTGCTTTGTACTGTGCTATTTTTGACCCTGGCCCGGGTGCACGCACCCTCGCTCCCCATATTAAAGTGACTTTGTATCGCATTCTGCCTGTATAGGTGGGTAAGTAGACATTGAATATGGTACGCAACTTTGATAAAAACACGAAGGACATAACATTTCATGACAAACAACAAATAGGCAATTTTAAGCTTGATCTCTAAATTAAACCAATTTTAATAAATAACGCCCACTCGATGTAAACAGACGATATGGCAGGGAAAATACTGGGCCAAAAATTCTTCTGAATTTTTAACTTTACCTACTGATTGACCTTTGCTAAGGCGTGGCCTATGTAAAACAGATTTGTGCAGATACCGGTTTCAAATCTAAGAGGGAGTTACTTCTTTCATCTTGATTCAGGCTAATTAAACCTAGAACTCTTAGAAGGCAAAAACAACCTATGCAAGAATATCAAATGTAGAACTTCGTTATTTTTAAGCTTTTATATTGGAACCTGTGGTGTTTTCTATTGATGCAAGTTTGACGAGATCTTTCATATAATCCGATGAAGAACAGATTTTACAAGAACAAGACTTGGAATATCGATTTTGGCTACTAATATTTCGTTGTATATTTGTAAATTCACTGAAATACACTGTTGACCTCTAACGATCTCTAAAATGATAAAATCTTGTCAAACACCTTATTTCTTCCATTTAAAAATTGAGCTTTTTTATCCGCTGAAACTAATGATTTTACAAGCACCAAAATAAATAAAAAACAAGTTTAGTTTACTCTTCTCTGCCTAAGCGAAATATGAACAAAGGCGTATACACGCGTCTGTTGATTTATTATTGATTTTTGTATTCGATATATTAATATAGTCGAACGCAATATGTTGTTCGTAACGAGAGATAGACCAAACTGAGCAATCATAAAAAGAAATAAGAACCTATATTAATAATTAATTATGTCATTTATCGGCTAGAAATATCTTAATTCATGCGTGAAGTTTCATTTTCCTATTTGATATTCATCACTAAATACATGAGATAATAAAAAACTTACTCAACGATCTCTTTGTGATCGTGAGTGAGCAGACATATTTGTCGCTTGTGGCGGGAATTGCATCTGCCCTTATTTGTATGATTGCACGTGTGCTTTCACAATATACGTGCTACTTAAATGTGTACATAAAATGAAGTGTCGATTGAGGAGAAAAAAGTTGTTTTTTTTCTCGCTCGAGCTGGGAAACCGAAACCAGCGATTCGCATTTCGTATCGGCTGTCTCTTCTACTTCAATGGCTTCATGTCTCGCACCTCCCGTCTGTATAATTCCCTTCCTTTTACTTGTTCCCCTGATATCTATAATCTTCATCTATTCAAATGTAATGTCAATCGACATCTCCAGTTGCACTGAACTATCCCCTGCCCTTCTCTTCATCCTTTCTTCTATCACGCCTCTTTACTCTCGCTCCCACTCTATAACCCCCCTGCGTACTAATGGTATCCCGCCTTGCTTGGGGTGAAATGCTTAAAAAAATCTCTTAATTTTGACAAGTTATGCACATATGATATAAAGCATATGGCTAAGTCAACAATGGAATGGCTCAAGAAGAAGCACATTAAGGTAATGGAGTGGCCTAGTCAGTCTCTGGACCTTAATCCTTTAGAGAATTTGTGGAGGGAGGTGAAGCTTTGAGTTGCCCAATGACAACTTACAAACCTTAAGGATTTGGAGAGGATCTGCAAAGAGGAGTGGGCCAAAATCCACGCCCCTGGGGTCTGTAAAAACTTGGTAACCAACTACAGGAAATGTCTGGCTGTTGTGCTTGCCAACAAGGGTTTCTTCGTCAAATACTGAGTTATGTTTTGCTATGGGGTGAAATAATTATTTTTTCAATAAAAAAGAAATAAATATTCAAAAATTAATATAATGTGATTTTCTAGAATTTTTTTATATTAATCTCTCACCTTCAAGATGGACATACCCTGAAAATTATAAACCGTTCCTATTTTTGTAAACTCAGAAAATCAGCAGTGGGGTGAAATACCTATTTTCCCCACTGTGAGCAACACACGGTCTTGCCAAACTGCCTACTCATCAAAGATCAGTGCATTTAATTCTGAATTTCTCTAATTGTAACTTTCCGGGCTACTTTTAAAAGTCTTTCTTCTTCCATCTGCCGTGTCCCTTCAGGACGTAGACGTTCATAACTTCAACCACAACTTCCTATTCATTGTAGCTTTTAGCAATGTTTGTTTACTATAACTCTCACTCCCTTGCTTACCGGTTTCCGTACGATCACCGAAGTTAAGCAATGTTAAATCTGGTCAGTACCTAGATAGTTACCCGCTTGGGAATACCAGGTGCTGTAAGCTAGAATTTGGGGTGTGATAATGGATAATAGCTCAGAATTGTTAATCAGATGTTGGTTGGTTGATTTTGTTTTGCGGCATATCAACACCTCTATGGGCAATTTAATGCTAAAATCTAAATATTCTGTACATGATTTTATACTTTCAGGGGAAAAATTATGTTTTTTAAATCCATCCTTCAAATCTATAAATTAACCATTTGCGCTCGCATAGAATACTGCTGCCATGTCTGGTCTAGTGCCCCCGCTGTTCATTTCAAGATCCTCGATAAAATCCAGAGACGGATATGCAATGTGATTGGTCCTGATCTGGCATCTCGTCTACAATCATTTTCTCACAAACGTGCCGCCGCTTCCCTCTGTCTTTTCTACAAATACTTTCACGGTAACTGCTCCGATGAACTACTTTCCATACTTCCCAAATTGCATGAATTTAAGCGTGCTACTACGTTGGCATCTCAGTCCCACTCTTTCACTGTCAAAACTGTTAAATGTAGCCGTCTCTTCTACTCAAATAGCTTCATGTCTCGCACTTCCCGTCTGTGGAACTCCTTTCCTCTTACTTGCTCCCTTGATAGCTATAATATTAAAATTATTCAAATGCAATGTCAATCGACATCTTCAGATGCCTTGATCTAATTCCCCGTCCTTCTCATCATCCTTTCCTCTATCACACCCGCTTTAATTTTGCTTCCACTCTCTGTAACTCCTTGCGCGATAGTGGCATCCCGCCTTGCTTGGGGTGAAATGCTTAAAAATATAGTTTAGAGATCATAATTAAATATAGTAATTAAATATAATATAATATTTAAATATTGCTGATAATTTCACTACAAAAACGTATTGTTGGTAATATTTTTACAAAGAAATATACTGCATGTATTTTAATACATTTTAGAGTTGTATTGAATGTCATTTTTCTATAAAAATATATTGCAGGTAATTTTACTATAAAAAATGACTTGTTGACTTTTGGGGGTGGTTCGTTATTTGCCCATAGAAGAGTCCTTAACAGGTTCTATCACCTCGGACCAAGGTGGACCTGGGAACAGCAACAGTTAAGAGGTGATTTCACGCTCTTCAAAACCCCCAATCTCCCGTTCAGAGGCACTTGCTGCCAGTTGGAGTTTATCTTCATACTCTGGTGAATGTCAGTCAGAGAGGCGAGTTCAAATTCCCGTTGGGTTCATTATTTACTTACACACAAATAACCATGGGATAGGTATGAGTCCTCTTCTCCCCCAGCTATGGGTTAATTATTAAGACTTGTATCACTAAATGATTATTATCTCCGCCCCCAAAATCTTACATTCTAATTAAAAATATTTTCTGGCTTTAAATAACCTGCAAAGGGTTGATAAGCCGTAGAAAACGTATCAATCAATCAATCAATCTGACTCCCTGTTCTGACATTAATTGTCACAAGATCATTGGGTTTGTTAGTAAGTGTTTCTTTTACTCATTTTGTTTACAATACGCCTTGTGTGTGTCATATTCTGCAAACCCTTCCATGTCGCTATTTCTGATTCTAATTATGTGACCCACTTTTTTCCAATTTCCTAAACAAATTACGAGTTGTTCACATCTTCCGTCCATCGTATTCTCACTATAAAGTTCAGTCTGAAATTCTCCGCATGTGTTCTTTGGTCAACTTTGGAAACCCCCGGGCTTTTAAATTTTAAAGTTCTCTATTTGCGATCTACGAGGATAGTTTAAATATCTGGGAAGTGATCTAACAGAGGACGGAAAGTGGGGCACTAAAATCCGATGACGTATTGGGATGGCCAAAGATGCGTTTCAAAAGCTAAGCAGTGTATTAAAAGACAGAAAAATTCGTTGGAAACAAAGAAAAGAGTACTGAACTGTTACGTGATACATGTCCTGCTGTATGACAGTGAGTGTTGGAAAATCTCCTCAGAGATGAAGAAGAAAGCAACAGAAATCTATTTACATTATTTACATTATTCGGACTGTTGTCCTCATCTTTGTCATATTCACAACAATTTGACCGTTGTATGTTCCAGCCTTCTTCAAGTGAGTGGAATTTCGAACTGAACGCTTGATTTCCTCCACCTGGGTAGATTGTTCTAGTTTCACGTGCCATGCCTCTCCCGGGTGTCTCAGTTATATCCCTTTAACTCAACTCGCCACGTTTTTGTTCACCACTGCCTTAGCTAGGTATTGAACACGCAATGTTTTTTGTGTGAAGTCACTGGATCCAACTATCACTTTCATCCACTGGGTTGAGAACGAAATAAAGGTTTCAGTTCGAAATTCCATTCATCTGAAGAAGAACAGAGAGCACATCAGCCGAAACTTCATGAATATGACAATAAAGATGAGGATAACAGTCCGAACAATGTAAATAATTACAATACCTCATCTCGGAAATATAAACAGACAACAGAAATCTAGTTCTACAGAAAGATGCTGAGGATACTATGAATCGAACATGTGAACAACAACGAAGTTTTCGAGAAAATGGAAACAAAAAGGAAAGTTATTACTTAACATTAGGCAGACGCAGCTGAAATTTCTGGGGTACGTAATGAGGAAGGAAGGTTTGGAAAACCTGATACTCTCATGACGGACTGATGGAAAGAGGCACAGAGGAAAGTAGTGTGTAACATACTTGATTGGGTTTGAGCAAATGAGCATAGAAGAGAGTTTGGGAAAAATGACAAAAAGAGAAAACTTATTAAGAGCTACAAGGGTCAAGAAGATGTGGAGAGCCATGACCGACTACATCCTGAATGGATACGGCACATAAAGAAGAAAGGGTTATTTTTGTAAGTTCAATTTTTTTAATTTGTGGATCCCTCAATTTTTGAAATCCGGACGCCTTTAAATTTTAAATTTCTCTATTTTTAATTTTTGGCGTTACTTTCCCAATCCTAACGTTATTAAATTTGGAATTTCCATCTTACTACTTTCGAGCTATTTTGACAATAATCTGAACGTGGGCTACTTAAGAGAAATCAGTCAATTTAAAATTTAGTAGTGTCAGCCTTTCAATTTCAGCTCTAATTGTCTCCTTTGGTACAATTAATACAATAATTAATATTTATTTGTTATCCGTTACTCAAATGAAGCAATACTGGTTGCCCGGTCAATGAATACCAGATGTTTCCTTATAGGGAAACAGGTAATTTTATCATTACAATTACAATTTACCATTACAATTCAGAGTCCAAATACACAATGCCTGGACTAAGGATTAAACCTACAATTACTAAACCCCCAAATTTATCACTGCTATTGTCTTGTCGGAATTCCCTATAGGTTACCCTGATTAAATAGCCTAGAAGTTTTTGAAATGTAGTCAGCCAGTTATGTGCCATGCGTGATGCACGCTTAGGCGATCATGTATCTTTCGATACATGACTGACGAGGCAGATTTTTTTCCCGTAGTAGTTTACCATTTCTTTCTGTGGTAGACCAGTTGCTATCCAATGCTATAGAACCCGGCCTGTCCCGCTATTTACCCATAGCATTGGATGGCAACTGGTCTACCACAGAAAGAATGATTGATTAGTGGTACTGATGCATCGCCCTTAGATAGAATCTTTGAAATTACTGCACAAAAAAATACCACGGTAGCAACATTAGTAACGCTGGCGATACAAGAAAAATTCAATATTACCATTATGATATATGAATTCTTTCTTACCAAAAGATTTATTTGTCTGTTGTCTTTGTTGTTTTCAATGATAAGAATTGATAACGTTAATTACCTCCAGCTCAGAAATAAACCTTCGTCTTTCTAATCCTGAACTTCTTTTTTCGTGGCGAAATCAAATCATGAATAAATCGAACTGCTTTATGGTAGGAATGAAACATTAACCATATTTCAACTTCCCCGTCGCCTTCAAAATCAAATGATCGACGATACCAACTTAAAAATACGACAAAGGGTCAATTACTGCTTCTTCTGTCACAGATCTTAAGGGTAAATCTTTACTTTATTGTTCGACAGATAACTCAATACTCTTAGGATATTCTTCTTCTTTAATTTTTGAAACAAAACAAAAATGAAGAATTGGTTTAACTTTTTCGTTTTAGTTTTTTTTTTAGATATTGTAAGATTTTTGGAGAATAGTCTGGAATACATGACTTCAAAGACTTCCGGTAGACAAGTAGACTGAACAGGAGAGAGGATATGGCGGTGGTTGTATGGAGAATGATACAAAAATATTGACGGTGTCTTGAGATAGGAAGGAAATGATATCATCTAGTTGAGATAGAAATTTTATTAATTCATGAGAAGAAAAACCCGATCGAATCTTGTAGATATCTTGATGCTGATTGTTCAGATAACCACACCCAGAAAGTAAAGGAAAATGGACAAACGTTAGATTCAGAGAAAAAAAAAGTTTTCTTTTGCTTTATTTCGTGTTTTTTTTTTTTCGAGTTCAATCCGAAGTGAACGTAGGGTGATCCTCCAAGAATGATACATTATTTAAAAGATCTACCTTGTATTCGGATTAAACATTTTATATCTGATGAATTCAAACTATTCAAAATTACTTTAATAAAATAATTTGAAACACAATTTAGATGTTTCCAAGATTATTTATGGAAAATGAAGGAACAGTATGACTGCTGTCAGACGATGTGAATGATTGGTCAGATTTACAAGTATTACAGGTAAAGAAGAAGAAGAAGAAGAAGAAGAAGAAAAGGAAGAAGAAAAAGAAGAAGTAGAATGAAAAGAAGAACAAGAAAAAGGTCAGTTTGATTATGATGATGAAGAAGAAAAACAAGTTGATGAAAAAGAAGAAAAAGAAGACAAAGAAGAAAAAAAATTGAGGAAAAAGAATATGGAGGATTTCATGATGAAGAATAAAAATAAGAATAAAACAACAACAACAAGAACAAACAGAAGAAGAGTTTGATGATGAAGAAGAAGAAATAATTTATTGACCTGTACAGTTAAAAAAGAAACATCCGCTCGTGCAAGCACGCACACTTCTATATACACTAATACATACATAGTTACGTA